TCTATTTTTCGTAAATCCTTACACCAATTTGCACACGTACATTTAAAATTCTAACTAGAAATCAATAGGCTGGCTCTAACACAATATGTTGGCGTTTGGCCGTGATTCTCCACCGATTTGTGGCGTACGCCTTGATGTTGTCACACTAAGAGGAGAAACCTATAGTTTTATGCTCACTCCGAAGGACGATTGTATTTTAGAAGCTGTTTTTCATGGCAGAATGCACTCGGATGTTTGCCATTGCCTGCCGAGAGGCGACTGCTATTAGAAAAACTTGCTTAGGTTTTTTTTTTATGTTGGGCCGAAACTGGGTTCGTAGCCAGACCCTGCGGAATGTTAGTGCGGGTCGATCCATAAACTAAAACCAAATAATAAAAAACGATGTTCTTTAATACTAGCAAATATACTGCGTGGTTCACTGCGCCTTAAAAGTATATTTGTGTTTTTTGATACCCGTATTGTAAAGTTTCATTTATTATATCTATTTAATTAAATACAATTTTTCAAAAAGTTGGCAGCCCTCCTCAAAAATATTTTCGGCAGTAAACTTTCCTAGACCTCTGCAGTTTGATATCCATATTGATATATTTAATTTATCTTATCAACTTACTTAAAGTGCAATTTTTAAACAGGTGGCAACTCTCAATTTTTTTCTTTCTATAGATTAAGTTAAATTAAAATTTTCAAGCATGTGGCAACCTTCACAGAAATACTTTCGGCTGTAAGCCTTCTTAAACCTCCTTTTTTGACAGCCATATTGCAATATTTACTTTATCTTATCAACTTACTTAAAGTGCAATTTTTAAACAGGTCTCAACTCTCAATTTTTTTCTTTCTATATTTTAAGTTAGACCTCTAGCGATACATCGATGAAAACTGCATTCAATTTCATGCATTAGTTTGCGACAGACAGACAAAAATTCTAAAAATGGTTGATTTGGCTTCTATTGCTCTAATAAAGACTGCTTTAATGGGCCTTATGCATAAAAAGTGAGCTTAAGCTCAGACTCAATTTTTGCACTGAAGGGTTGAGCTCAAGCTCAAGAATTTGTACTGAAAATCGAGTCGGAGCTTCAGCTCACTTTTTATTATATCAATAATGTACATACATCGGCTGCTTACAATTTTATTTTTGTATAGATTCACTAAGCCAGAGCTCCTTTTAGTTGTGGCTAAAAATGTTTGGGTAAATTTATATTTAAAATGCATTGCTGATGCTTCTTAAAGATTTCCTAGAAAATGTTTACCCACACCCTAATGCACACTTACATAAATGGTGAATAAATTCTTCACAAATTGCCTTGTGTGCATGTCCATATTTCGCTTCATTTGTTATTATTGATGGATTTATTAGCGCGTAGCATACATACTTTAAATAAATTAATTTGCGTCAATTGAAAAAATAAATAAAAGATAATTTAAATTTGAGTGCACTCAAGCGCACAGGTTCGGTGTCGGTCTCTAAATACTCTGAGTAAGAATACTAAGTACATACACTGATATGAAGCTGGAAAAGTTTTTTTTTTATAAATACTTAACCGAATGTGCTTTAAATATATTTATTTCAGTCAGCACTTAAGTAAGTCACTTACTGTAAAGAAAAATAAATAAGTAAAGAAGTATGAGTTCGGGTGAAACCCGAGTTCGATTATAAGCTGAGTTAGCCTTAATGATATAATTGAACCAAGTTTAGTAGAAAACGATAAGGTGGTTACCGAGATACACTTTTTGTTGTCATAAAGTGGGAGCTACCACACCCAATTCATAAAAGTCTATATAAGTGTTTTTATAGTAAAGAGATTGTTGTAACAATTAACTTGGAACTGGATTTTCGTAGTTCTGAAATTTACTGTTATGCGAGAACGGGTGTACATTTAGTCCGATTTGAATAATTTTCAACGGATTGCTTTTCCGTACAAAAGTTATTAAGTGTGCACAGAGTTTGGTAGAAATTGATAAATCGGTTACCGAGATACACATTTGTGGTCATAAAGGGGCGCCACGCCAATTTTCCAAAATACATCGATTTTGAGTGAATTAGCTTAAATAGTTACTAATTTATCGCAGCTTTCGTATTTCTGTAAATTGCAGTTATATGGGAGATAGGCGTGGTTCTTGTCTGATTTCAATAATCACCAAACCAACTTTCAATAATTTTGATCCTATAAGAACAACAATGGCGACCTAGTTACCGATGTTCAGAACGTACTTAAAGTATGGAGGGAACACTTTTCCATCCTACTGAACGGTACCAGCACGGAAAGTTGTGGAGAAGAAGAACCCGAGCCCCCAGTCGATGATGACGGAGTCGATGTTCCTCCTCCTGACTCGGTGGCAAGGAGTTGATAAGGTGCATGCATCAGATCTTATGCAGAATATGGTAATATGAACGCATGCCCGACGACTGGAATTTAAGTGTGCTCTGCCTAATCCACACGCCACCTGCCATTCGCGCCAACTACCGCGAGCGTATTGTGTGAAAGACTGAAGCCGTCAACCGTCAACAACTGATTGGGCCTATCAGTAGTATACGCCCCTATGTCTGAATTTGGCATCCCCTCAAAACTCATACGACTGTGTAAAATAAAATGTGAATTGGGAAAGACCTCTCCGAGCCGTTCGCCACCAAACGGGATTTCAGACAGGGCGACTCCCTTTCATGTGACTTTTTTTAATCTGCTGTTGGAGAAGATAACAAGAGCTGCAGAACTGAACCGCTCAGGCAAAATTTACTACAAGAGCATGCAATTGTTGGCTTATGGCGGTGACACCGACGTCATCGGTAAGAAAAACCGCGTGTTCTGCCTTTTCCAAGTTGGATAAGGAAGCAAACGAGGAGGTAAACGAGGACAAGATGAAGTATCTCCTGCCAACAGTCAGCACACTCGCGCTTTGGCACCCACGTCACTGTTGACATTAATAATTTCGAGAAAGTAGAAAATTTCGTTTGCTTGGGAACCAGCAATAACACCGATAATAATGTCAGCATGGAAATCCAACGCATAGTCACTCTTGCCAACAAGTGCTACTTTGGACTGAGTAGGCATTTCATCGATATTGTTATCGATTTTTCTACCGATACTTTTATCGAATTTGTAATCGATATTTTTTATCGATTTTGTTGTTGATATTTTTATCGATTTAGCTATCGATATTTTTGTCGACTTTGTTAGCGATATTTTTATCGATTTTGCTATCGATATTTTTATCGATTCTGCAATCGATATTTTTATCGAATTTGTTATCAATATTTGTTTCAGTTTTGTTATCGATATTTTGATGGATGTTACTATCGATTTTGTTATCGATAAGGTATAAAGATAAAAATAAAGATAAAGGAAAAGAGAATAACATAAAGGTAACTAGAACGAACAGGGTAGAAGTAAAGATCTAGATAGAAAAAAGACAAAAAATATAATCTTAAGCAAAAGCAGATGTACATATGTATGTATGTATATATATTGGTTATGAGACAAACTAGATTTGTAACGAAAGTTTCACTTCTCTAGTGTGGCCCAGGCACACTTACTTTTTTATAGCGAAATTGCAAATTTGGTCAATGCTCGACACATTGGCCATGTTCTGCCACCTCGGGTCAATCAGTAACTTTTTTAAATAAAATACATTATTTCCGGAAATACAACTTATTTGCTTTTTTGTTTAATTTTATTTTTTTTTTTGTATAAAATTTGAAACATTGTGCATATAAAAAAAAAAAAAATTAACATTACTTTACATACAGTCGAATAAAAAAATAAAAATAAATAAAATCTTTACGTGCCAACCAATCATATTTGGTATTTTAAATTACCTTTTAACAACAATCAATCATGTCAAATAAAACTCGCAAATTATTACGCTATAAATTAGCTGTCGATCGTATTTATTTACACTTCAAAAATATGTGTGTTAATACTTGAAAATAAAAAAAAATCATACAAATAGTTATCGTTTTTACGTATACAGTTTAATCGTTCGTGAGATACTGGCATAAGAGTTTCGATTAATTGAAATTCAATACATCACTAACTAAGATAGGACAAGCTCTGTTATCAACTACATACTTAGTGTAAATAGCTAGCTAGTAATAAGATTAACATATTACATATGTACATACATTACGATGGCTAAGCTATTTAAATAATTCGCATAAATATTACAAAATAAGTACGTTTACATACAAACATTTCAATTTAATTTTAATGTGCATAATTAAATAATTAAAACCAGGCGATTGCACAAAGTTCAACGCTTAGCTTGGCATTTATAAACCCGCTTGCTTGCTTGCTTATGAGTTAAGTAAAAGTAACGACACATTTGATTAGCTTAAAGCTTAGTTGACAAATGATTAGTTGAATAAGACTAAGGGCCGTTTGCACCATGTCTAGTTAATTCTAACTCCCAGTTAAACATCTTTATCGACGTTATCGACACCCATCATATAACATGTGATCGATAACGCAGTTAACGTGCTTAACTGAAGGATGAACCTCCAGTTAGCGTTAACTAGACATGGTGCAAACGGCCCTTAAAGACAATCAGCAAAAAGACTTCCTCCTCCTATTGGCTTAATGACTACGTACATACATACATATGTATGTACATAAATAACCGTTAATGCAGTTGCTTTTGTGATTATAATTGACCTGTTTTAATTATACGCATACATTAGGGTGCATCACCCTCCATACAAAAAAAAAATCCGGTATTGTTTTTCCATCGGAATTATTTTGGAAAAATATTACGATTTACGTGAGCGGAACCGATTTAAAAATACCTCCAAAAAATCGCATTATTTTGATGCTGTTGATAAAATATTCAAACATTTTTATGTAGACCTTTAAACTTAAACTCGTTTATGATCTGATGTCATATATTTTTAAATCGGTACAGCTGACGTAAATCCTAATAGTTTTTCGTAATTTTTAGCATATAATAAATTTATGATTCCAGTGGAAAACTTGCAACTTTTTTTTGTCGAGGCACCCTACTACACATATATGTGTATGTATGCTTTTTTCACAAATACAAGAAATATTAATTACAAATTATTTTTATATACAAAAAGTTACACAATAATAAAGTCATAAAAAAACTTAATCGGATATTCACAGTTTTGCATGGAGTTCCCTGCTTTTAAAAATACGAAACAAATTTCGCTGTAAACAAACACCGTCATTTCTTAGACAAGAAAAAAAATGGAAAATATTTAAATTTCGCAAGCTCAGTTCGCTGACTTTTGACTGACATTCGGCTGACTGGTGTGACTCATCGATGGAACAGCTGCAGCTGCAGCTGGTTGCCAGCGAACTGCGCCGTGGCGCACTGGCTGTGCAATTGCGGGAAATATGCAGCGAACGCTGTTGTGTGTGAGGCGCTTTTTGCATGGCACTTTGACATTTCATTACGACTACTAACCGCCAGCTGTCAACTTCCACAACGCTACATTTCTTAGGACTAACAATTTAACTACTTACACACACAACGCTACATATCCTCACACATACATACATTAATTCATATAACAACTAAACGCCAAAGTGTGCAGTGCAAACTACTTCACAGCCGTAGCCAAACCATCCAAGTATACTGTCAGGCGATTCCACCCCCCACCGGCCTCCTCATGTTGTGTTAAGCGCAGTGAGGAAATTCTCCACGCGCGCTTCATCTAACGCCGCCGTCGTGCTTTCCTCGTTCAACAGATCACTGATCGAGTATGCGGAGAGTGGGCGTGACAGGCGACGCTGTGATAGTATATCATCGATGGAGGTGACTGGCGACAGTGATTTGCAGCCGGCATAAATGAAATTCTCGCTCTTCTCTGCATTGCGTGCAATCGCCGCGAAAATATCCTCCAAACTGGATTTCATACTCAACTGTGGCCGGAAGAGTACCGGCGAGGCGAGTGGTGATGACGATAGTGGCGCCGGTGATTCGGAGCGTGATGAGGAGGCAGCTGGCGACGCTGTTGATGGCGTAGTGGAAGTGCCGGCGCCGTATGCCAGCGAATTGGGCGCCTCGCGTCGCGCACGTCGTTGTGGCGGTGATTCGTGGCGCGTACTCCACGTGTTGTGATCTTCATCGGCGTTTGCTTGTTGCAGCAAACTCAGCGAACTCTCCAGCTGCTCCTGCGAAAGGAGCTGAGAGAGGCGCGAGGCGTTAAGCGCGGACTTTGGCGGTGTAACCGCTGCAGTTGGCGTATCGTCTGCATCCTGACACTGTATGGTCGGTGTGACGCGGTTGATTTTCTTGCCCAACAACACTGGTGCTACGGTTACTGTGGGCACGTTCTCGAACAATTTTGCAATTTGATTGACATGTGTGTTGGTTTGTATGGAGGCAGGTTCTACCTGTCGCTTGATATGATTGGCGTGCGTATCCTGCCGTTTGGCGTAGTGCGTTTCTGTGGTGCCCGCTGTGCTGTGCCGCTTCGGGTAGACGCGTGTAACGGCCTTGCGTGGCTTAGGCTTGGGCATGGGCTCGCCCAGTGTGTGACAGCAAATGTCCGGCGCATAGCAGCGATGGTATTTGTGACGATTGGCCTCGTAGTCGGCATCGGCGAAGGTCTTAATGCGGCACAGGGATTTGGGTATGAGTGTAAGGAAGACGAATGTGTAGAGGAGGTAGGGGAAGTAGACACAGAAGGTCTCCAGATATGCGAGGTATTCGTGGTAATCGAAATCCATGGCTATTGCTGCAGTTGATTGATATGTATTGTGTTGATGTTTTGTATTTATGCGTAGTCTTTTTCGTTTTTCAAATAAGGAAACGTTTCTTAGTTGAAGTATTTTTTTATCACAAGCGCTTTTTATGAAATTCGCAAAGTCTTAGTATTCTTTTACCGTTAACTTTTTCAAATGTAATTGCTTTCGCACGTTTTCGATTCTGAAAATAGAACGACGTGGTGAATTTTTTTGCTTAGTTATCGAGAGAACTGGCGCATTTGTGTTCTTAATTGTAATTGTTCATATTGCTTTATAAGCCACATGTTCCTTGACAAGCTTCTTGTAAATTAGGCGGTGACATAAGAGTCTTTCGGATGAAAATAAAACTCGTTTAGAAATATTTTATTTTTAATATAATTTTATAAATTTCTTGATGAACTCAATATGTTTACGTACATAGTTCAACGTAACTTAATTTGATTTCAATCTTTGCTTTTTAATTTATTGTATTTTTTTATTTTTTACGTGCCTTATGTTTTTATTTTTATTTCTATTTAAAGTTCTGTTTTATTTTATTTTGCTTTATTCATTTTATTTTACTTAATTTTATGTTATTATATTAGTATTTTCGGGTTTACTTTTACTTTATTTTGAAATTTATGTCATATCGATTTGGCGTCAATTTAATCTGTCAAAACACTGTGTGGAAACTTTTCAATGCAGAACCCCGATTGTGTCTAGCACTTGACTGGATTTGCTAGATAGAAAATATAAAAAAATTTATCTGCCTCTAGAGAACATCACTCAAATTACCATTTCTAGATAGCTATAGGGATGGCAAAAAGTATAAAATAATCGATTAATTAATCATATGATTAACCACAAGCCAAAAACAATTGATTGCAATTATTGAGTAATAATCGATTAATCGAATTTTGAAAGGCACTTGTTTGCAGTGAGTCGTCACAAAAACATTTTTTCCATAAAAATTTCTAATTCTCTTTTTAATTAGCCTTAAATAAAGTAAAACGATTATTTTTAGCGGCGAAAATTATTGATTATTTAACCAAGTTTGCAAAAACAAAAGCTTTGATAAGCGTTTTGTTGTTAAGCGGTTGCGTTTCTCGGTGGCTGTAGCATCAGCTTTTGAAGAAAGGCGCTCAGCAGGCACTAGGTTTGCCAACATTTTCTACGATATTTATAGTACTTTTACAAAAAAATCGGAATATTTTTTTATGTAAATAAATATTTACATACAAGGGAGGAGTATCTATGCACGCCGATAACTTTTGAATACGTGAACCGATTTCCGATGATCCTCTTTTTATTAGAAAATATCCAGTCTCAAAGTTGGTTTCATATTTGGTACAGTTGTGGTGATTGTATCATTGTCAAAATAACGGCACTCTTTGGTTTTTATTTTGACCACGTACACAATACCCGTGCATAAGTGAAGTCGGTTGCACTTGTTTTTTAATTAATTGTAGAAAAAAAGGTCTGAGCGGATTGTTATCAAGCATTCGCTTCATAACGATAAGATAGCAAAATGTGTTTGTTCATCTTTACAGTGAGAGCGCCAACGCCGATGACCAAGTTATTGCCAAAATACAGCAGCATGATTCGAGTGCTTACAAATGTACATTTATGTATGTATGTACATTAGAATGTACCACCTTACAGGGAAACAAAAAAAAAAAGTTCGCCGTACACTGAAATCACAGACAGAGACCCTTAGGCGTTTTGACATTTTTCGGCAATAAAAAAATTTTACATAGTTTTACTGGAATAATCAAAATACTTCCTTAGTAAAAGTTTAATGACTTTTGCGAGCTTTAGTTTACTGATATAATGGTGGTACGTTAGGTTGGTTGGAACAAAGATCTGGTGGGTAAATACCTCAAGTCCGGTCAATGAACTTCGGAACAAAAAAAAAATTGTCCCCTCGAAACAAAAACACCACTACTTGAACTATGTTTCGAGTATTTACTCGTATCGGAACCACCCTATGAATTACAAATATTGTTTATTTTTACCCATTTGTGAATCGAGTCATAAATGAAAATGTGATTAAAAATCAGTTATAACACTCCGATTAAACGTAAAACAGGCCCACACCATCACCAACAAATTTTTCTAGTCCGGCGTCCGGACATAAAACCAGTATTTTGTTTAATGACTAGTCAATTTTTCCCACTTTCGGTCCATAAGAATCACTAGATTCTCTAGATATGTACTGTGCTAGTAATGATGCTAGTAAGCCAGATATTTTTTATTAGTTAAATATATTTAATATTTATGATTTTTCATTTCATAAATTGCGATGTTAAGATTTTCATTATTCTTTTATATTTTTTTGTTTCCGTTATATTTCGGTCTACTAAAAATATCTATTGCACAATTTTATTGAGCTTCAGACCGGCATTCTTATTATTTAATTTAAATAAATTTAAGTTGTTAAATATTTTTTTTTTTAGATTTGATTTCTTTTTAAATTAATTTTTTGTGTTAACTTGGTTGAAAGTTAAGAGCGATTTTCAAGAACTGCAAAGTTGGCGTCATTGTGCTAAAAGTTTCACTTGGTATTTGTTGATAACTAAAGCGTAATTTTAATTGGTTTAAAGATTCAACATTATTTTTATTCAGCACAGTCAAAACGTGGCATATGCTGAGCGAGTGATTTACAATAATGTTTTCTCGATAAAATAAAGCTCTCTTAGCAATACTAAAACCGCAGAAATGTTTTTAATTTTCAATTATTTTTCTCAAAAAATTAAAAAAATAACCAAAAATTTGGGCAATTTAAAAACAAATTTTATATTTTATTTAAAACAATTAATTTGTGCTTAAGCCACGCACTTATTGCGCGAAAAATCGCGTGTAGCTACTTTGGCTTGAAATCCACTACTAAACTATAAATTCGGCAGTCATACTTTAATATTTGTACGGCCGCATTCTAATTCTACCGGCAAAATTATGCATATTGCATGATTGAAATGCATTCTAGGTTAATGCCTGTGTATATGAGTATTTTAAGAAACCAACATTTTTTTTAACTATAAATCAAGTCAAAAATGCTTTCAAGCGAATATCTGCCAGCAAGCGAGCAGTAGCATCTTCCACGGCGCGCCCACGCCATATCCGATTGCAAGCGGCATACTTTTTTTTTGGATTTCCAATTTGCAATGTCGCATAGAGGCAATTTTTGCGTGTTCACTACATTTTTTAATATTTTTTTTTTTTTTTTTTGTTTGTTACACAAAAATAAAAAAAAATAAAAATTGCAAATTTCAAAAATTCTTAAAAATATTAAAAAAGCATACACACACGCATATGCTTTATTTTGCAATGTTTACGGTTTTAATTTGCTTCGACGCTTCTAAACAATTTCATGTTTTATATTTTAATGTATTTTTTTTTTGTTTATCCATAAGTTTACTTCAAATTACTTTTTATAGCATTCTCTTCTACAATTTGAGATCAGTGTCGCCGCGATTTGCAATATTTTCTTAAATATTCTTATAAAGTTTTAGTTTAAAAAAATTTTTTTTTTGTTCTCGTTCGAAGCGCGTTCAGCCGTCGCGTTCTACGGTCGTTATGTCTCGAAATATCTGCGTTAACTAAATTCCACTACAGCTGCATAGCTTTAATTTGCCCACTTTTGCCGGCTTGTGGAGAGGGTAATAAAACGCTCGCAATGCGGAACCGAAAACTAGTCAAAAGTACAAATACATATGTAACAGCATGTATAACCAGGTGTCTACCCTACAAGACATTGCTGAGCACTTTAGGCAAAAATTCTCACACATTTACACTTTTGTTTTTGTAGTACGGCATAAATGAGTAGTTTGACTATTAGTACTGAGGACTTTCTGATGACAACATTGAGGGGAAAGTACTCAATTTTTTCCCATGGCCTGAACGAAAATGAGGACTTTGATAAGCACTTTTGTGATTAGGGATAATGATAATATGAGTACTCATATGATACTCAGCTGTCTTGTAGGGTACATATGTGCATATGTATGTACGAATAATTTTAACTACACAAGGCAGCTGCTCCCCACCGAAGCTACTTAGCGGCGTGAGTTACTGGTTATTGCTTGGCGCTCTTGCACCCAACTGTGCTCCAACAGAGCGCTTTCCGTGCATTTAGGCAGAGCGCTACGAGCTGAGAACACTGGCAAAGCAAGATCCCCCAAAAGTTCTCTGGCTCTCTTCCAACACGCCTACCATTTTCTTGTGAATGTGTTTAGTTTTGTTTATTTTTTGTGTTGCTTTTTTCGCAAATGAATAATTTGTTTTCAAAAATTTGTATTATTTGTTTTCTTGTTGTTGCTATCATTTCAAATGCCGGAACAGAAGCTGGCAAGTGCACGAAGCTACACTTGGCTGCCTAAACACTTAAAAAGAAAATATGAAAAATTCTACAAACGCAAACAGATAGTGGACCGATTGATTCGTTTTATAAACATATGTATGTATGTACATTAGGGTGCATCCCCAAACAAAACGCGTTTTTCCACCGGAATTATAAAATTTTTTTATATCTTACGACTTCCGCCAAACAATATTTCAGAAAAATTTTAAGATTTACGTAAGCAGACTGTATTTAAAAAATCACATTACATATTTTGATATCGTTGACAAAATTTTTATGCAGACCTTTAAAGGTTAAAGTCTTCTATATGACAGCGATTTTTTAGAAAAAATATTTTTAACAACTAATTTTACCTACTTAAAAAAATTCGATTTTTGGAGGTATTTTCAAATAGGTCCGGCTCACGTTAATCTCAATATTTTTGGGAAATATTTTGGCGAAAGTCTTAAAATATTATAGATTTTATATTTCCAATGGAAAAAAACTGTTCCATTTTTCATAGAGAGGGATGCACCCTAATGTAATACATATTTATGTACATTAGTTTTGGTGGACATCATCAGCGCTAAAACTGTGGTGGCCAATAGCGACGTGGCTGATTTTTTTTTATTATCTGCCTTTCTGACTGTCTGCCGGTTGAGCGGTAGTGCGAGCGTGTTTTCGCTGCTCCACACAGCTGTTTCTAGCTGACAGCACATCTAATTTCATGCCAGAGATTCATGCGAATTAATTTGAGTTGGTAAGCATTTGTATTATATATTTACTACACCACCCATCAAAACATTTAAGCGTTTATATGCACAACTATACTACAGTGACCCAAACCGAAAAAGCAGTTCCCAAAAAAGAATTCTCAAAAATCAACGCAACTTTTTAGGTGGTTGCAACTTGCACTTCATTAGACTAAAATTGTATGGGCTATAACAATGCATAGCCAAAAATGTTCTAAAGATTCAGATTAAGAAGTTGAAATTTTTATGCAAATTTCTTGAATTTTTCAAAATTGTATATTAAGTTTGAAACTGTGATTGATGTGGTTTTAGGTATTTTTATTGAAAAATAACAAAAAAAAAAATTGGCTTGAATAACATTACGAATATTAAAAAAAAATCAACATGTGGTCACTTGTTTGAGTCACTGTATATACAATTTCATGTACTATATTCATATGGAAGCTCTGGACACACTTAGTTGCATATACATATTTCTAGTTCTTTAATAAAATGTTCATGCCAAGAGGTTTTACTTACACAGGTATATACGGGTGTATTTACATACATACATATGTATCTCTCATGCATATAGACTCCTAAACATACATACATAATAAGATGTAAGTACATATTTACCTAAGAGGAGACAATAAATGCCATAAATTCCATTTGGAGGCCACTGATAAAAATATCAAATATTTACAGACCTACTTTTTCTGATGTTTTCGCAAGAGGAGAATTTTAAATAAAATATAGAGATATCCAGCGGTATGATAAGGCATCTGTGGGCTTATACAGCGGCGGTTAGTCCGATACTACTTAATTGAGTTGTAGTATAATGGCCTGCCTTGGTTAAGACTTCTAATCTTAATGATCTGCATTAGCGGAGCAACTTCTGCCAATAGATGATGGCATCTTTTGCTGTACTTCGGTTAAGAGAGATATAGCAATGGGAATCAGAATTGCAGGGTCACCCTTGTATGCTGGAAAAAACATTCACTCGCAACCTTACCCTGAGCCGTTCATTTCGGCTACCAGAATCAAAGCTGTGACTTCCGCCACAATTAGATCAAAAATTGTGCTGAATGGTGGCTAAGCAGAACAGTCTAAACGTCATCTGTATTCCTGGTCGTAAAGATATAGAAGATAACTTTATGGCGGAGGAATTTGCGAGGAGGGGTACGACCAAGCATATTTTTGTGTCTTACTATAGATGTTGCAGAAGTTGCAAAAACTATGAGGAGGAAGAGACAGTTCTCCATTTTCTCTGTAAGTGTGCGCCATTCTCGAAGAGCAGATTTCGCTTTCCAGGGTGTCCTTCCTTTAGTGACCTTTACGAATTGGCAGATGGCTGACGAGTTTCGTCTAGGAGACAAAAAGTTTCAGCAAGGGGAGTGACAAAACTCTAAGTCGTGGTATCATAACGGACCTTCAACTCGTGGTCTAAGTTTGTGCCTGCGTAGAAATGGAAGCCACACCAACCTACCTAGAGATATAATTTTCTCGTTAAAGGTATGTACATGTGAACACTGGATACGACCTTGGATCGATCCCGATTCCAAAAGTGATAGAAGAAAAGTTTGTTAAGTCTAACAGGCATGCTATAAAGATGCTTTTATTAAATAAACTTTAGACATTCCAGTTTCGGTTTTTCCGGAATCATCTTTAGAATCTTTTGGAATCGAGTTTCGGTTCTTTCGCAACCGTTTCTCGGTTCCTTTGGCATCGAGTTTCGGCTCTTCCGGAATCATTTTTTGGTTATTTTGGAATCGAGTTTTTCTTCTTCCGCATCCATTTTACGGTTTTCTTAAGAAGCCGGTTCTCCGGCTCCGATAACTCGATTCTGTGCATCACTAACTTGAATACTCTGACGAGACTTCATTCAATTACTAGGTTGGAAAAATTTTTGGAGGGGCCGCATGTACCATGTGTGGCCTATGGAAGGCTTTTTGGTCGGACACGAGGTCTGAGCTCTGAATTAAAAGAGTGGATATACCGCATGATCGTCCGTGCGATTGATGCTTATGCCTCCGTAGTTTGAAAGCTAGAAAACATTACAAGAAACTGCCCCTCAGCGTTTAACTATATTGCAAGGACTGGCTTCGTCCCCGGTTATTGGTTGAATGAGTAGAACTTGTGCGACCGTTGTACTGAAGTAGGTATCTTCTACAGACGATGGATTCTGCTCCATACTTTTGTTAAACCAGAATCAGCCCCGAGAGAGGTGCACTACCGAATATCTCACGGTACTCTTTCATATTAACAAGCATTACACAGATATTTAGGCAAAAATACCTGGGTTAGAAATACCTGTGCGTGCTTTTGGACTCTATGCTAAAAGAAAACTGTTTTAGTAGGACATTGAATGTAAAACTCCTCCAACGGAAAATCTAGAGAAATTGGCTCCCTCACCTTGAGACCGAATATTTTTGCGTAGATATTGGATACAGATTCAACTTCCTATTGAAACTGGTAGATGACTCACAATTTTTTGTGGACAGAGGTGCAAGCAATCGTGACCCTCACTAGAATAAACAATAAAAAGTGTTTGAAAGGCGATTTATTAGCCGTATTTTAAGACAGTGGAGCTGTCATTAGAACCCTTTCAATAGGTGGATCACCCCTAAGCTCGTAAAGAACTGTTGCGATACTCTACAACTCTTGGTAGCGGGAAACAACTCTGTTGGGTAGCAGTGAACTGCGATATCGAAAGAAAAGCTCATCATCTGCTCTTGTGGGCTCGTAACCATTTTCTGGACACAGAGAAAGGGTGGATTTTTTTCAATATTATAAAAACAAAATAATTTTAGTGATTTCGTATTTCCAGATTTTTCTTTTGTGGCTCTTATTTTCCCCTCCCCTAAGTGTTCGTTTGTGTCTTAATGTTTTGTCTCAGCCATATTGACCTAGAGAATCTACAATCGTCTCGTTTGGTATATGACTACCTAATTTCCCGCCAATCATTTACTTACATATATACCACACTTATGATCTATTTGGGGAAATATAGCATCATTCATTGTAATTTACCTACTTCGAAAGCGCTTTCTAGCCTTGTGACAAATTCTTGCTAAAAATATCTACATACATATGTGAGACGATAACATACAGATACACAAATATTTATTTGTTTAAAACAATTTCATGTGCATATGTATGCAAGTATTATTTAGTACAGGTAGAGAAAGTTTCTGAAATTTGTATTTTTATTTCTTGCTTTACATTTTCCTATCAGCATGGGGTATTTCCTAAGTAAGCTACGCGCCAGCAATGATGGCTAATTCATTTAAAATTATTGTCATGATTTCGGCATACACCCGCCCCTCTGTCACTGCAATAATACGCCTCATTTTGGCACCTCGGTATGTATTGAGGTTTATTTCGAATTTTGTTTTTATTTATTTTTATTATCTGTGTCATTTTGGTTAATTGCTCTAAGTAAAGCAGTAAAACTGTTGATATTTTGCGAGCATGTTCACACATACATATACACAAAGTTTATGTGGTTTGGATTAAGAAATTAAAAGTGGGGCAATATGGACTTGGACCTCATTTTGGTACACACACCTACAGCCACATAAATATGTACAAATGTATGAAAAATTTCGATCGTAAAAATTTGAACTAATGCACC